TGGGCAAGTGGTGGAGTCCATCTGTGCTGAGTCAGCGGTACCCAGTCCCAGTCAGTCCTAGTCCAGTCAAGCAAGTACCGTATGGGACTGTGTGCACCACGGGCATGGGAAAGGGGCAGACCAACGAGTTACAGAAGTATAAATCAAGAGGCAGCGCCCAGCCATTCATTCATTCCTGCGTAAGCCATGCGGAAGTGCTGCCACAGCGACTTGTGCAAGGTGGTCTGCAGTATGCCCGAAGACGAAGTGGGCGAGAAGGAGAGCTTTGCCATAGCGGTAGAGGTAGTAGCGGCCATAGCCGCCATAGCTGGAAGAAGGGCGTAGTGTGTGTGTGCGTGTGTGTACAATGTGTCGCGTGTGGGATATCCAGGGTGATCCTGTGTGTGAACAGCAGAGTTGGGTCAGTGACGAACAGAGAGTTGTACAGGTGCTAATGTGCCATAGCCATCTGAAGTGAGCTTGTATCTGAACTGTTTTCTTGGTTACCATATCTCTAAGTTCAGAGTGGGCGCTTGTCACCAGTTTGCTGCGCTACCTGTTTACATGGATGTGAGGTGTGAAAGAAAGCGAGTCTGATTGCACTGGCAGGAGACACAGTGAAGTTCAGCCTTGAGATGTTCAGTGGGACGCTGGACCCGTTTTCCAGCAGGTGCTGCTCCCCACCAATAGATTGGAGCAACCAGGCGGCCCACTAGGAGGGGTGCTCATATCACCCCTCCTAGCGCAGCAGCGTGGTTTTCATTAAAAATAAAAATAAAAATAAAAAATAAAATAAATAAAATAAAAATCCCAACAATTTATCACATTAAACAGTTTCGGAGATCCAGTCACAAAGCGCTCAACAGTGCAGAATACAGCAACCCAATACTAGCATCCTCATCAAAGGTAGGTGACTCTCTTCTCTCTCCCTCTCTGTCTTCCTCTTTCTCTCTCTCTCTCTCTCACTCTCTCTGCCTTCTCTCTGTCCCTTCTGGTCTTCCTTATGCATGCTCTCTCTCTCCCTTTTTTTTTCTTTTTTTTTTTTCCTCTCTCTCTCCCTCTACTTGAGAATGTTGACTCTGAATACATCCGCTGCTACTCGGCTCTATCCCTACTACTAACTTATGCGGCTATGGCCACCTTCTTTCTCAGTGCAGCGCTGCACAGCAGGGCTCTCGCACGCATGCTACTCGCAGATAGCGCACAGGCGCCTCAACAGCACTTCCACACTTCTCATGAATGAGCAATCTCCCCAAAATGTGGCTGGCCAGTCCTTATATTGACTTGGACTGAGCTTCAACTCGTCCCAGCCTCTGCTTCTTGTGGCTTGACTTGGTACTGGTACCACATGCCCACGGCCTGCTTGCTTCAGAATGTCAAGGCCTGGTACTTTTCCCGAATTTTCATTGGTGTGCTGCTGCTTGGGCCTGTGAGTCACGACTTTTCACCTGTGGAACATGACTTTTGACTGTGGGATGTGACTCTTGCCTCTGGGACACGACTTTTGCCTGGAGAAGTGTCCTTTGCCTGTGGGGTATGACTTTTCAATATGGCTTTTCAATATGGCTTTTCAATATGGCTTTTCAATATGAGACGTGACTTTTGCTTATAGAACCTTTGCCTCTGGGATGTGACTGTTCACCGGGTGCCTGTTGGACTTGACTCCTAAGGTACCTGATTGTGACTTTTCTGAAACTGACCAACTTGGCCTGAGACCTTGACCCTGAAATTCGAATTTGGGGTCTGCAACGTGGAATGCCTTTCAAACAGGTCGAGTGGCACTCATCGTGGCTTGTTGACTGGAAACGGTATGTCATCACATGACCACACCTTAGTGAGAAGGTGAATCTTTGTCCCTTCCAGGAGACAATGGCTGATCTTCACCCCTCCCTTGCATCCGATCAAGCTGCGGCACCTCCCCGTACAGGTCAGACAGACAGGTCAGCACTGGTGCAGGGGTCCCTTTAGAAGACTGTTACTGGTCCATGTCATTCTGTGAACATGCACGTACGCTCAGAAGTCAGTCTAGGATGTGCACAGCATATCCCCTTTTCTTACCGCCATGAAGGGATGGTCACTGCCAGCATCTTCCATGAGAACTGTGATCCATCGTTGTCTTTCATCCATCCTCCCCACCCACATATTAGCTGTCCAGTATGCTGTCATGACCTTGACATGCCTTGCTTAAAGGACCAGTACATCCGAGCCTCTTTTTGCCTCGGCCGATTCACACTGCACGCCAAGCTTTGCCAAACCGCCAGCAGCTCGCTTTTGTTTATTGTTTGGCTGGCGCCAGCAGCCATTGTGGTCTGGTAGCCCTGAGCCCCCGAAATTTTCAGATTGGCTGGATTTCGATTCTCAAGTTTGCCCAAGCGATGTACTGGCGGTTTAAGTAACTGTGAACACGAGTCTGTTTCCTTTTCTTCATGCCAACAACATACTATGTGTTGCCGATGATTGCAGGAAGCTGTCATGGAAAGCATGTGTCTTTACTGTATGGAATATCCTCTATGTCGCCATCCTGTGCACCCTCTTTGCTCATTCCCTAAATGCAATGGTGGATTTCCTCCGGTTGCGTCTGTAATGGGACCGCATCCATTCTCTCGGGAAATGAGTGGATGCTACAGCCTGAGGCAAAAAACAGAGGCCCACATGAACCCCACATCTGACGCAGCATACTGAAATGTTATTGTCCTGGGGCGACCATTGGCAGATCAGATTTTCCGACAGCAGAATGGTCTTTCTTTGGAAGTTTGGATCCAACCCGTCATCGCCTGTCCGCAGACACGCTACATTGGAAGCACAAGTAGGAGCCCGAGAGAGTCGCTGCTCACTGCCGGAACGTGACGAGCCTGCTGATATTCGGTTGGCATGTGATCAGCACTCCCTGTGCATTTAGCATTATGACAGTCTCTTGTGCACTCGTCTACACCACCCTCTTATGGCTCGTCCTTTCTCTAGAATGGGGCTGGACTTGCAGTGCCCATATGACTGCAATCGCCACGCTTCTGCGTTCCAAGCATGTGGAAGCCATCTTGCCTGTGATATTTGTGTGTGCCATGCCATGCGGAAAAGTAACTGTAACTCTGAGGAGTGGATGCAGTGCTTCTGCAGGCCACACCCGAAGCGGTCTTGCGCGGTCTGTTGCCACGGTCACTCACCGTTGATAATGCACTGTTTTTCCGTTCATTCTCTATGCAACTCGACCCATCTGTGACCACTGCCCAAATGAGCATTACTAAGAGAGCTGGCAAAAAATATAGGAAGCAAGCATGCCGACGGTAGACAGGTGTGTTGGCAACCAGGGCTCAAACGACACCGGGGTAGCCTTGTACCAGTCATATTGCAGCAAGGAAAAGGTCGTTGACTTGTTGACTTGTTGGTCATTGTTTGAGAAAAAAGGTCACAACCATTTCATAATATTCACATGAGAAGAACGTTTCAGTTACGAGTTTGATAAATTTTTATCCGTCTAGCATGATCTAGGTGCAAAAGGGGTTGCTGTGGCGATTGTTTAAAGTGCATAACCTGTTTGTGAGGCTGAGCGTGTTGGGGCAAATGACTGACCTGCTGGTCTGCATTCAACAACCTGCTGTTAAGCATCAGTCCAGCGTACTACATCTCCGAACCCGGAGGCCTTAGGAAGGTCAGGAGTTAGGGGTGAGGGCACACACATCCTCGGGCTCTTCGTGGTGGATTATAGGCACACCTGGGCAACCTTGTGCTTTTCTTAGCATTGTTCTATAGCTACGATTTTTTGAATTTTTTTCTCCATTTGTTGGGGAGGATTGGGTGTCTACTGGTCGATATTTTCAGCGCAAGTGCATGCTGAGCACCAGATGTGTGGCCAGTTCACACTCAACCACACAGATTTGGGGAAGCTTGCACTTCTTCTAATGTCTTCTTTAGGGAATGAGGTTTTATTTGCTCGTTTTCATCAGGACACGAACAATGCGCACACACACTTTCTCACATGTGCACTCACATGCACCTCTCTCTCTCTCTCTCTCTCTCTCTCTCTCTCTCTCTCTCTCTCTCTCTCTCTCTCTCTCTCTCTCTCTCTCTCTCTCTCTCCAGCACGTACACAGATGCACAGTTGCACGGATGCACTCTCTTTCTTGTCTCTCTTATATGCACACATATCACCGTTCCTTTTGCATGCACGAACATGCCCATACAACACTGTGCATGCACACCTACTGGTGTTCTCATCATTGTACTTAGACCAAGGTGGGGAGGAGGGGGGAGGTACAGAGAGAGATCTGAAAGCCGGTGCACTCCTGGACTCTCCCATTGCTTACCTGCTCCATCTTTGTTGCAGTCAAAGCCAAAGCCAGCCAACTTGTGCGAGTGGAATATCATTAAAAAATGTTTTACTCCAACACTCAAGCAAGGCTTGTTTCCCCTTTTCTCTTTCCTTGGAACTAATGATAATTTCTGACCTGCCTATCAGAAAATGAAAGTGAACAGCACTGCAGTAATTGCAGCTATACGATAAGGTTGGTACACAGTACTGATCGATCACAAATGTATGTATGTTTGGCGTTCAAGCCAAGAACATTGTGCCCCAGTTTTGCTAGTACGGCATGTACACAGCCATGCCTTCTCTCTGCAAGACTTTATTGAACCACCAATTCATATTTCAAATCTCAATTGAATTGTCAGACGAAGAAGAATGTTCATGAACTGTCCTTCTTGACATCCGTTAAAATTGGAACGATGTACAGAAAAGAATAGCATGGCCCCTGTGCAAGGATGGCACACATAAATCGGGAAATGGTCCAAATAAATAAATAATAATAATAATAATAATAATAATAAATGAAAAAGAATGTTCATGAACCCAGAACACTGGCTTTGGCCTTTTGGCCTTTTGATTAACCTCCTGGTGATATTGAATGCGTGTTTTGCTGCATGTGTGTCGTTGTGCTCTCACCTGTGTGAGGCTTCACTTTATTGACAAAATGACCAACCCGAACGGTTATCTAGCCATGCTGCGAGAACACTCGGATAGCTTGGAGTTTGTGTACTTGCGGCCTGTCAACAGAGAAGCAATGGTTTATAACCCGTACGATCTGGAGATTGTTAACCACAATGAGATTGACATGAGTAACTTCTACACGATGAGTGCAGCAGGGGTGACACACTTTGCTGAAGCATCAGCAGGTAAGTGAAGTATACGATTGTTCTGAGTCCATGATTCCATCATGATGGTTCTTTTTCCTTTTTCTTAAGAAGGGTAGTCCCTAACATTATTGTATCCATCTGATTCCATCAGGGGATTCCGTCTCAAGCTCATTCTGCCACACAAACTGGGTGGTTACAATGGTTCCTCGTAAATTTCCCAGTTTGAACTTTGAAAGCCATTGAGCTTCTGTATGTGGTTGGTGGCTGAACAGCACAAACCCTTAACTCATAGGCAAGAACAAGTTGTAAGGTTTTAAACCCTTTTGAGAAGCAGAATCTCTCTCTCTCTCTCTCTCTCTCTCTCTCTCTCTCTCTCTCTCTCTCTCTCTCTCTCTCTC